TGAATCAGTGAGCCAGATTGCCAGCGACTCACCGCTGAACTACCGGGCGTATCAAAACGGACGATGCGACATGACTCAGAGATCATCACAGACGCGACGGTAAGCCGCCAACAGCTCCTCTGATGTATGCTTTAAAAATGTTGGCCAAAATTTAAGATTGATATTATCTAGTGCTAATATTTGGGTTTTCGGTTTTTCTAATCCCCTCTATTTCGCCTATTGCTTGAAAAAAGCTAGAGGGTTTCTTTTCACCGATGTCAAGTGATTTTAGTTCAAAAGATTGGTGGTGCTGCTACTGGCAACATTATTGGCGCAATATAACCGTTCTTTAGACCGTGTCAATAATATTAACACAGTCAATGACAACCGACTCTCACTGAATGTGTCTTCCTGTTCCGCAGGAAGCTGAGCTGTGACTGACTGGCCATTGCGTGTCATCAGTTCGGCCAGTAGCGGCGGAATACCTTCAATTAAGGGGGGCACTGCCGACTTTTGGTCCCATTCTTTCCATGCAACGCCCATAGGGCTAATGTTAAAATGCCAAAATCAAAGGGGGGGGGGGTGCCGCGGTGCCCTCCCCGTTCCGCTGCCTATGAGTTCGGCTTGACAAGGGAACCGCGAGGTGGCAGATAGCGATATTACGTATCTGAACGAGGGTTCCGCACGAGCTCAGATGGCCTTCGGTTACATTTGTCGTTGCGTCTGTGATGATCTCTGAGTCATGTCGCATCGTCCGTTTTGTTATGCCCGGTAGTTCAGCGGTGAGTCGCTGGTAATCTGGCTCACTGATTCAACCCCTCAGACGCCGGCGGGATGTGTGGCGAATCACCTTTTACAAATGTCGGGTATTGATAGCGTCATTCAGCATATGTCGGTAGGCGCTAATACAGAGATTTTTGGTGATAACCTGTTTGTTTTCAGGGCGCTGGAATCAGATGATATAGCTCCTATATAGGAGATAGTGAGGTTGTTGATGGTAGGTATCTGAAGAGTGTTGTTACCCAACTCAGAATAATTGTACCTAATGTGTCATCGATTGTACCTTTTACCGCAACCCTGTCGATACCTATATTAGAAGGCTTGCCTGAGTTACTAATAGTCTTTCATTTAGAGAAAAATATCTATCACTAATCAAAATCGTCAGGTATGCTGGTTCAGTTGCTCACCCCTTATCTACAGGCTACAGCATCGGCGCGGCACACGTCTTGGTGATTCCTGCTCTGTTCCTCCTGTTTCGTTTTTTAGCCGTCAACCTTGAAATTTACCACTTTCCTAACAACTCAATAGGAAAAAATGGAACGCGATATTTGGGAAAAATGTATGTTTCCGAATTGTTTTATTTCTTCTTAAGCAGTTTGAACAAAAACAGAAGTCATTTATCATTTGAAACTACCCCGATTATCACGATATGATAGTGCCCGTTATTGGCAATGTAGGTGGCAGCACCGTCGACTGTGACTTTTTCGCTGTAACTTCGACCTGCCCGAGCCTCGTCAAATCGCATTTTTACGCAAAACCAACTGCAGGGCTAGTGTTTTGGCATGCTCGCGCCAATTTATATCTTTGTCTAACGCGAATCTGCGACTATCGACACACCCTATTCTCCAGGTCAAACGGCGTTAATGCTGCAACTTTACAGAGAAGTTTTCTGGGTTATTTACCATTTGGGTCTCCTGGCTCTAAATTTAGCAATCATCTTGCTCAGTAATAATGTTTTTGTGCATTTGGAGTCAAGCGTCCCGACCAGTTTCTTAGTCATATGTGTTAATTGAACGTTATCGATAGCTTTGCCACATGTGGCATCAGCGATTTGAAATACAATAATTTTCCTACAATGTAATAATCCCCAAATGCTTAAATGAATAGTAAATTCGATACCAGTTTTGAAACACCATACAATGCTGCACAACTGCAGAGCTGAAAAATTCAATCGAAAATCTGGTTCCGCTAGAACCCTAAATATAACTGTTTTCGGTTCCTTTGGACGGTTTCGTGGTTTATGGTTGCTTGGTTTAAAATGAAAGTTATAAAGTTTAAATACGATTTTATAAGTTTTAATACAAACATTATAAGTTTTAAATCAAACTTTACTTAGATTGATACTAATGTTACATGTAAAAATCAAGTATTTCTTTATTGTCATGACCTTTCCTCCTTTTCAAAAATATGCTGAGCCAAAATTATATTGTTTTAGCGTTTTCAAATATATCGGCCACAGGCCTTCATCAGTGAAATATCCAAAAGGATATTTCACTTTGAAATATCCTTTTGGATATTTCACTGATGATTTGCGTCAATATAATGATTGATTATATGATTATAATGACACTGATGATTACGTCAATATCCTTTTGGATATTTCACTTTGAAATATCCTTTTGGATATCACTGATGAAGGCCTGTGGCCGATATATTTGAAAACGCTAAAACAATATAATCTTGGCTCAGCATATTTTTGAAAAGGAGGAAAGGTCATGACAATAAAGAAATAGGGTAAGGTGCCTAATTAGCGACCCCCTTAATTTGAACGTCATTGCTTACGCTCTATGGGTGCCACTGTAAGGCTTGATTTTCGGAGAGATCGTTCATTTTTCTATTAAAATCTGCTCATTTTCTGCCCCAGTATCTACTAATTTATTTGAAGTGAGCATTTTGGCAAACCATTGCAAAAAACGCTAATAGGGAACTCGTCTCGATTAGCGACCGGGGAGGGTCGCTAATAAGTCTATGGGTTTTCCCATATTGAAAATGGCAAAAAATGCGACGCCTGAAAAGATGAAATATGATCCCAAAAAGGTAACCTATACGCAAAGCACTCAATCACTAGAACATGAGCGTTTATCCAACACGTTTACGCAAGTTAACCCGCGCGGGGCTGGGGTCTCCAGCCGAACGCGCGGGGCTGGGGGGGGGGGGGTAAATTTTACCCCCCTGTTATCTCCCGAACTAACGGTCCGATTTGGAAAATTCAAACGCCAATCGAAAGCTCTCATCACGAACTACTAAAAACATGTACTTAATTTAAAGTTTGAGGTCAAGGTCAAGGTCAGGTCAAGGGTACAAATTGCAAGTTTCTACAGTATCGGCCTTGCACCGTAGTTGCCGAAGAATGGAGTCATGGACTGAGACTGATCGCCCAAAACGTGTTTTTAGGCTACCAAGACAATATTCGTTGCATACAATGTCATTCAGAGGTCAAGGTCAAGGTCAGGTCAGGTCAGGTCAGGTCACCAAAAAACAAAATATAGAAAAGGGCATGTGCGACACATGTTTTATGGGTCATTTTACTCATAGAATTCAATAGGCACACTCAATAAGTGATATGGACCACCTCTGGATGAATTTCAGGTCGAGGTCAGGTCAAGGTCAGGTCAAGTGAGGTCAAATTTTGAAGTTGGTTGTTAAGGCCTAAAAAGGTGTCTATCTGATGCAGTTTTTCACGGCGAATCGAATGGTGCTATTTTTGTTTCCGTACGAGGTCTAGAACTTCCAAAAATGTCATTTTTCAAAAATTTTGTGCGTCGTGACGTCATAAAATTTTGAATAACTCCCACATTTTTGAACCGATTCTTCTAAAATTTGGTATGTAGGTGCACATAGACTACTTCTCTGACATATATTCCGGTTTTTTCGATAGACTCAAAATTTTGGATTTTATAATGATTTTCCCAAAAAAGTCAGTTTTTTGAAAAAAAATTTTGGCCAAAATCCAAAATTTTCAAAAAACCGAGATAGCCATTTGATAGACAAAGTAAAATTACGTATAACCTTTTTTGTTACGTCTTGATTCCTTTAAAAATGAAGATGTTAGCGGCGTTTGAACTTTTGCCGTTTTTGAGGCGAAAATGACGAACATGACGTCACTAAAACGTCAATTTCTCAAAAATTTTCCGACGGATTTCGCTCAAATTTTCAGGGAACGTGTCAAATTGATGTAAGAAAAGGTACTGAAAGTTTGGCGGCGCTGCGCGCCGCCGTTTTTGAGATATCGCAAAAATTCGCGAGGGGGGGTAAAATTTACCCCCCCCCCAGCCCCGCGCGGGTTAAAACTGATAACGTGATGCACCAAAGGCAAAAAAGTGCGAAATCCCAAATTTTGCGGGCTATCTCGTATGGTATTCGAGGCCCGCGCTGGATTCGGCAACCCCAAGTATTCGGTGACGACATTTGGCATCCCCCGCCACACATTGCAAGCTTCAGCAACACCTCATTTTCATTTCTCTCTTTTCCCTTGTCTTTCCCTTCTTGAGCTATTTGCGACCATGTTGGGCGCAAATAGGAAATATGAGTTGCGACACATTTTTAACCACCATGCAGTGCACAGTTAAGCGATTCACTATTGGAAAACGGCAATCAATTGAAAAAGGATTGTCGATTCAGAATAAAAAAGGTGTATCATCCTAATATGCATCGCTTTTCATCAGGGAGGGTCCAAATACACACGTTTTGGATAAGAAACTCGTCATTTTTATTTAAACTCACCTGAAACGTCCCACTAGAAACACCGACAACCGGAAAAGAATTTAACATGATAACCAAAGTATGGCTCACCTTTTGACAATGTTTTTATCCCGATTTCTCCTGCCAGTTTTTCTGTAGGGAGGTAGGTCGCAAAAAGGAAAGGGTCGCTAATTAGGCACCTTATCCTACTTGATTTTTACATTAATAATGATCCTCCAACAAGCACTAAAACAGATACAACTAATGTTACATGTTTTAATACAAATGTTCCAAAGATTAAATTGGATTTTATAAAGATTAATTCTAATGAAAAAAGGTGTTGTGTTTGGAAAACACCTATTTAAAAAATGAATATTATTGGGTCAAATTAAGTTTTGTTGCATTGTTTATGCATATTTCCTATCTTATCTTATCGCTATATTACATATATTGCCTATATTTGTGAGAATGTTTCAGTGAGTCAATAGTTGTTGGATTGCAGTGTGTTGCTGGTTGGCGGCATGACCTAGCTCAGCTGAACGGTGCCGGCGTTGTTTCAGGCCACTCGACTGTCCACCGGAGAACTGGCAGCCATCAAAGTCATCAAACTTCAGCCAAGTGAGACGAAATCGCCCAGTCGCCTCGCTCGTTGACTTGTTGATGTCCCTCTCCCCAACGCCCAGAAAGGCTGGAACACAGCTCTCTCTCTCTCTCTCTCTCTCTCTCTCTCTCTCTCTCTCTCTCTCTCTCTCTCTCTCTCTCTCTCTCTCTCTCTCTCTCTCTCTCTCTCTCTCTCTCTCTCTCTCTCTCTCTCTCTCTCTCTCTCTCTCTCTCTTTCTCTCTCTCTCTCTCTCTCTTTCTCTCTCTCTCTCTCTCTCTCTCTCTCTCTCTCTCTCTCTCTCTCTCTCTCTCTCTCTCTCTCTCTTTCTCTTTCTCTTTCTCTTTCTCTTTCTCTTTCTCTTTCTCTTTCTCTTTCTCTTTCTCTTTCTCTTTCTCTTTCTCTTTCTCTTTCTCTTTCTCTTTCTCTTTCTCTTTCTCTTTCTCTTTCTCTTTCTCTTTCTCTTTCTCTTTCTCTTTCTCTTTCCCTTTCTCTCTCTCTCTCTCTCTCTCTCTCTCTCTCTCTCTCTCTCTCTCTCTCTCTCTCTCTCTCTCTCTCTCTCTCTCTCTCTCTCTCTCTCTCTCTCTCTCTCTCTCTCTCTCTCTCCCTCCCGACTACTTCCATTGGAATCCCGGACATATGTTTCGCTCCCAGCTGGCAGGGACGAGCTGGGAGCTGGGATTCCAACGGGAAGAGGGAGGCGCGAAGTGCACGCGTGGGAGCCGAGGTCCAGTCTTAACGGTTTTAATCCGTAACAATAGGGGTCCCAGTTTTATCTCACCTGTACGGCGAATCCTTCATACAAATTATCCGACAGTATGAAGTCCCAGTGTTCTCAGCTTACCTCATGAAGTCACAAAACTGATCACAAACATTCGGGTACTTAATGCTATATATTTCCGCTGATATGGTTTTGTACTGAAAGCTTTTAACTGCGCCCCGTTGAGGTCTGGCAGGTTTCAGGTCCTGTTGGGGGGGGGGGGGGGGGACAAAAGCCTCTTCATTGTATCACCGGAACCAATTGTCGGATCGGAAAAATTCAAACTGCATTCGGAAGATCTCATCGAGATGAACAAGTTGCAATCTCGATGACCTCGATTTTTGACTTTATACATCACATAAGATCAAAATAAGCAAATCTGTCCAACTTATCATGATGTGCAGTTTGTCATTAAATTCTAGGTTTCTTAAATGAGTTTCGATGTGATGAATATTAGGTATAGATCTGACCCGTGGATGTCATCTTAATGGATATGACCTGTTACGTCACGATAGAGGTCAGCCTCGACCAATCACTAAACACATGCCTAAATCGTATGGAACGGCATGGCTGAATTGTGAATATTTCAGTATTTATGATGTCTTCAAATCATACATTTGAAGCCGCAGCACCCTCGCCGACCATTTTTCTTTGACCTATGACGTCACGGGAACGAAAAAAGTCCAATTTTACCGGTTTTCGATGACAAACCTTTTATTACGTAAAAATGACTTTAATCAGGTAGAAGCGACGACAACCTTCATATTTAGTCAAGAGGAGATGTAAAAGTAGCATAATATTAGCATTGCCCTTTATAAATTACAAGTACAAACCAGCATGTATAACGCCTTTTGGGGCGACTAACGGAGCGAGCGAGAGGGTGTCCATCATAGTTTAGTCACACTTAGTCAGTACCGGGTGAGCCTCGGGCAGTGCACCTCCCACCTCCGACGTGGTAGGGACCAATCGCAACTGTGTAACCATATATGAAATGCTCTCCTGGCCAATAGTAAGTTGCCACGTAGGTTAGAAGGCTACGCCCTAAGAGTAGGATAGCTCTGCTGAAGTCACCCGATCGGGGGGGGGGGGACTAAGAGAAGACCTAGAGCCGCCATCGGCGCCGGACGTGTTACCAGTCCGGAAGACCACAGGGCTCCACAGCCGCTGGACGCATACCATCTGCTCCGCCTGCTTGGGAGAAGACCCCAGCCTCCGCTCACACCGGGCGTGTACCTGCAGCGGTCTCGACCGACACCGTAGCCGACCATCTCGCTCTGTGCTGTGCTCGTGAGACAATACATCTGGACCGGCAGATCATTTCTTCTGGCAAGGGCTGACAACAACACGACGCGCCCCGCCCTGGGCACGAGAAACCGCCGTGTTACAGTTTGAAATTGCGAGGGGGTACCTCTAACTGACTTGTGCACGGCACCCTACTAGCCGGTCTCTAGCGATGTGCCAAATTTGAGCACAATCGGCCTCGCCGGTCTCGAGATCTGGAAGCGGCACCCTGCACGTGCGCACGTGCAAAATGGGTCCCAACTGACTTGTGCACGGCACCCTGCTAACTGCTCCGTAACCGTGTACCAAATTTGAGCGCAATCGGTCCAGCCGTTCTCGAGATCTGGAATCGACCCCTGCACGTGCGCACGTGCAGCAGCACCCCAACTCTGGCACATGGATATGCATTGCCTAGTGGGTGCCTACCTACGTGCCAACTTTCAGCGCAATCAGCCAAGTAGTCACCGAGATATTGCAGCTATTACAAAACTGACACCTCTTCGTTTTGCACGTGGCACGTGCACAAGGGGTCACCCACATGCATCGGGAATAGTCCAATACTTGGTAGAAGGAATGAAGCTACCCTACAAAAATTACCGCATGTAAATCATGGCCGCTTATGCGGTTCCTAGGCTCTAAGAGAGATCAAGGTAGATACCAGCTGCGAGTATTATTTTCATTGTCGAGAAAATAATATGCAACATGGCACCGGCCCATATCTCCCGGGCCGTGGGCCATACCTCCCGGTGCATTTTGATGAATCGAAAAAGCGCATGATTTATTGAAAGTTATCTCGAGACAAAATAGTTGAGCGCAGATGCCTAATATCAGGCACACTTTGCAGGCGAAAGGCAATTTCACGTACACAGAGTGAAAACCGGGGTCTAGCCACTGCCCACTGGAAGAAAATTGCCTTTTCACAAATACGGTCCATACCTCCCGGGTCTCCCCTATAATGGAGAAGTCGGGAAATCGACCTGACCTTAGGTCATCGATATCAAAATTCCGAGATAAACAAATTGTAGCTACCAATGACCTAATAACATCCTGCGACTTTCAAGGGCCTCCGACATCTACTGTAGCTCTGACACGGTGACAAAGTTGCAAAAAAGCGACTTGATGCTGGGTCATTCAAAGTGACCTGGTGACCTGACCTTAAAAGTTAGGAGGTTGAAACTTGCACACCATGTGTAAAATTGATGAGAAAATAATCATACCAGCAGCGCCGCGGTTTTCCCGCTATTCACGAAAAACCTCAGGGGGGGGGGGTAACCGCCCCCCCCCGTCTAAGATCAATTATATGTACATGATGTAATAGGTATATATATTGATGGTATTTCAAATGGCTATATCTCTTGGAGCTTTAGGGATATTTTGTTGATTTTTGGCATGTGTAAAGGCATTAAGACATTTCCTGAATCCTGACGCATATTTAGGTTTAAAAAATCCCCAAAGTTCACAAATATTTCCAAAAATCTTAAGATTGAGTTTGAAAACCTCAGGATCTTGAAAGTTTATATTTTGAAAGTTGGAGATAGCCATTTCCTTTGCATTTTTTTTTAACCTACGGCTTGTTTTTGGAATCTCTAGCTTGATATCCTGATTGCTTATGACCAGGGCTGCGGGGCCGATGGATTTTCGGGTGACTCAGACTCCGGCTCGGACTCCGGCTTCAAAAACTGACTCCGACTCAGACTCCAGCTGTGACTCCGGACGTTCTTCTTAACCCTCGCCAGACAAGGGCATTTTTCATAGCACCAGCACATGAACCCAACTTTACTAAGGTTGTGTGATGCATGTTTTATGACCCATTTTTCATTTCCAACTCAATGGTGATGGTTATAAGACCATCAGGTACGGTTTAGGTCACTTTCTGTTGGAGGTCAGGTCAAGGTCAGGTAAAAAGGGTCACATTTCAAAGTTGATAGTTTTGCATAAAATGGGTATTGATTCGATGCAGCTCGTCACGGGGAGTCTAATGGTGGTCTTTGTTTTGCGCTATGAGGTCTAGAATTTCTAAAAATTGAGTTCGAAAATTTGACGTCATGAATTTTGAACAGTTTTTCGCTATACCTTGGCCAAAAAAGAGGTATGGATCTCAAATTTGGTATGCGGATAGAATGCGGTAAAGAATGTCATATATGTTCCGTTTTATTATTTTTCAAAAATATTTTTTTTTTTTTTTTGGGGGGGGGGGGGGGTCAAAATCCAAAACTTTCAAAAATTCGAGATAGCAGTTTTGTAGCCCTGTTAATTCTACACTTTTTATGTCTAAAACATTGTTCTATATCTCTAAAGCTGTAGGCGTGACAGATCTTCCCGCGATACCTTTTTTTTGGGTCGAAAATGACAGAAATGACTTCACTTCGACGTCATTAGCAGCCAACCTATCATAGCCTGTGGAAAATTTTGGTCACAATGTACAAAAGCTATTCACGGGAGGGTACTGAAAGTTTGGTGACGATCGGCGCAGCGGTTCTGGAGATATATCGTAAAACCTAAAGGGGGGGGAGCAAAAAAAAAAAAATGCCCCTTGCACCGCCTGGAACTTGGAAGGTTAAGAAACACCAGATTAACAGGTAGGTGGCCCCATAGAAAATCTCTTCACTGTGCAAATTTGTTGACCTATTGACTCTAGGTCAATATTTAGGGGGTGTTATTTATTGGTATATTTTGGTGAGTAAAAATGTAAACATTTTGCTAAAACCGGTCAAAAGCTTTTGGCATATAACTTTTGATGTAACCTTCGCCCGAGTGGGGGGGGGGGGGGGTTGGCCACAACTGCCAATTTTTTTGCGCGTGTAAAGAAAACCGCGCCGCGAAACTTTGTATAGCTTATCATACATCAAATTCGCATCATGTGTGGAAGTTGTGACCCAAGGTCACGTAAGGTCAGGTCACCAGGTCAAGTGAAATAACCATATCTCTAAAAGACTTTGTGATTCCTACAGTTTATATCCAAGAAGTTTGAAACTCGAG